CTGTGACTGATCAAATGTGTCAAAAGTAGTTTGTGAAGTTGCTTGGTACTACTGACATTTTGGCCAAATAATTCTTTGCTGTGGGTCTAATGCATTAGAAGATGTTTAGCAGCACCCTGGCCTCTACCCACCAGAAGCCAGTAGTGGGAGATAGCCAACATACTCAAAATATCCAAATCAATTAAGTTACTGATGAAAATGAAAAACGTGTCTTTTATTTTATGGAAAAAAATGTAACAGACTTTTTGGCCAACCCAATACTTTTTTTTTTTTTACATTTTATTTATTTATCTTTAGAGGGGAAGGGAAGGAGAAAGGGAGAGAAATATCAATGAATGGTTGCCTCTTGTGTGTCCCCTGCTGGGAACTGGCCTGCAACCCAGGAATGTGCCCTGACTGGGAATCAAACCCCGATCCTTTGGTTTGCAAGCCTGCGCTCAATCCACTGAGCTATACCAGCCAGGGCCCAACCCAATACTTCTTAATCCCTTCATCTCTTTCACCCAGGTCCCCAATGCCCCCCCCCACCTCTGGCAACTCCCAGTTCTCTCTCTGTGTCCATGAGTCTGTCTTGATTCTGTTTGTTCGTTTATTTTGTTCTTTGGATTACACATATCAGTGAAATCATATGGTATTTGTCTTTCTCTGACTGACTTGCTTCACTGAGCATACTATCCTCTAGGTCCATCCATACTGTCACAAATGTAAAGATTCCGCTCTTTTTTATGGCCAACTAATATTCCAGCGTATACATGCACCACAGTTTTTTTCATCCACTCATCTACTGATGGGCACTTGGGTTGCTCCCACAACATGGCTATTATAAATAACGCTACAGTGAACATAAAGGTGCACATATTCCTTTGAATTCGTGTTTTGGGTTTCTGAATAGACACTCCTCCATAGAGTACACACTGAAGGCCAATAGACACGTGAAGAGATGCTCAATGTCACTAATCATCAGAGAAACACAAACTAAAACCACAGTGAGGCATCATCATACCTGTCGGAATGGCTATTACCAACAAATCTTCCTTGTTTTTCATTTATTTTCTCCAGATGGGCATCCACTAACTTCCTGGAGGGCAAGGGAGTGGGGTGAGTAAAACTCTGGGGCCTGGAGTCTAGAAGCCAAGACAAGACCTCTCACCCTTCGTTCGCAGCCTTTGTGCCTACGGAGCCCGTTTCTCAGTGCGCCGCGCCCGTCTCTGTGCCCGAGAGCCGGTGCAGGAAAGCCCCGTACAGAGTGCACACAGACTCCAGTACCAGACTGGGAGGGACGGTCTCCTGACCACGCCCGGCACAACAGAGGGTCCTAGCATCTCACTGCTTCTTTCAGTCCATCCTCTTGGTTGCCTGCCTCTGGACACACCTGCTACTTCCAACGCCTAGGCCTTTTCAGGGTCCTGAGGAAAGAATTGGCTCTTTTCTGGCATTTAGCTTTCAGCTTTCACTGATCAGTTAAGTTCATCATTAGTCAATTTTCCGACTTGCAAAATGTTGTTAACATAGTATTCCCCTTCTTCCTCTTCAACCTAGTAATAAATTCAGAACTTTCATTAGTCCCTTACTGATTATTTTATTGGGGTTTCAGGAGAAAGCAAAGATAATAGGCTACACTGAACACACTATGCTTGAGAACAAGCCCCACAAAATATTTTTTAAATAAATTTATATTGAACTATTTTACACCAGGGAAATACAGTTAAGCAAGCCTTTTACCTGGACTTGACAAGTCCCTAGTTTCTGTTTTCTGCAAAAGCCGTGCTAACCAGTTACTGCGCGCCTCGGGCCGTGGGCCTGGCTCCCACGGCTCCCGCCAGATGCCCTGCCTCCGCTCCCCACTCGCTCCCCACGGCTGCCTGCCCAGGAGCACGGCGGTACACTCTTGCAAAGCAAACCTATTCTCCCCCCCAACACCCCGCCCTGTGCTCCCGATCCATATGCCTCCTCTTAGGACCTTCCTTTCAGCTTATTTCTCCCCCTTTTATCACTTCTGTCTTCACTCAATCTCCACAGGCTTCTTCCCTCATTTAAAAAATTAAAAAACATTTGAAAAGAAACTGTAATTGCCTTCTACTGGCAGTAGAGTGGCATTATTACTCCAAAGGTCCCTCCTGTACAAAACAACTAGTTCTTGGCTAAAATATACTTTTCCGTGCATTCATGGGCTTCCAGAAAGTAAAAGAAATCTCCAAGGGCCAGCACCATAACCGAAAAGAACCACCAGTGAACAAACCTTGGCCTGTATCCAGAGAAAAACACTGAGCGGCAGGCGAACTCCGAGGGAGGGGGGACCCCGAGGAAGAGGGCCAGCACGGAGCCGACGTGGGGAGACCGAGCCTTCCGCGGTGGCATGGAGAGAAGCGACCCTGAGGTGCCACATTAACTGCTGAGTGAGGATGAAGCGGCCTCGTCCCTTACCTGGGGCCTCGTATTAGGATGAAACAAAGCTCACAATCAACGTCATCAAATAGGAAACAAACCAACGTAAGTGTCTGCAGAAATCCACAGCAGGTCTGGTCCCCTGAGGGCTTAAAATATTGTATAGGGTGGGGCAAAAGTAGGTCTCCAGTTGCGAGTACACGAAACGGACTTTATTCTTGTATTATTACTTATTAAATATTGTATTGTGTTTCCGTATGAACAGCTGTAAACCTCTTTTGCCCTGACCCCTGTTATGTGATAAAAAATGTAAAGAAGTATCAGTCATTGCCTTGGCAGGAATGGGGCATAATCCCAAGAGAGGAAAGGCAACCTCGCACTGATGGCAAAAGGAAAGGGGAAAGATTCTGTGGCGCTTCTTAGTTTGCCCGGGGCGGGCTTTGTCCCCGCCGACTCTTCTCAAAGAGGTGGAACAGTGGGAAGAGCTTTCTTCACGTAAACACGAATTCTCCCTAGCAAACCCTCTACTACCACCTTACACAGAGCCTACGGGGAAATGTTCACATATGAAATCCTCGCAAACTGAAAGCTTGTTGAGAGTCGCATCACCCTCATAAAGATGGCTCCCGACTACGCCAACGAGATTCATTCGATCACAGAAGTCCCACATGACTGGAATAAACAACAGAATCAGTACGCTGTACCCACTCAACAACCTTAAAATGCCTCAGTTGATTTTGCTCAACTGTTTCTCTACTTCTGTCAATTCGACCTTCAAACGACCTGTACCACTGTATGTATCTATCCCTAAGTAGTCCTTCACACACCTCATTCAGATATTCATCTACTGTCAGCTGATAAATGGATGTTTTCACCTACTGCAGAGTAAGGTTCCATATTTTCCCGTTCAACAGTATCTCTGTAATCATTTAACTGCATCTCACTTTCGTAACTTGTAAAAAGACATCAGCAGAAAATACAGAAAAGGCTTATACTATGCAATAAGAAGTAGAAGCCCCAAACTAACAACACGTAAGGCTGAGATGAAAAGAACCACGTATGTCGAGAACAGCAAGTCTTTAACCTTAAAAAGATTACCACTGGACTGAAGCTGGGGGGCCGACAGGAAGCTCAGCTGTACAGAAAAAAGAACCACATTCAGAGAAAATGTACAAAACCCTGACTGCGAACTGCACGAGAGGACGGTGTGTCAGTGCACAGACAGAACCATTGGGCCTCACCGATGGCTCCTCCGGTGCGACAGCCACCCTGGCAATGTGCTCACGGTGAAAAGGATGTCCTGTTTATGCTGCCTCTGCACCAGGCCGCCCAGGATGTTCGCCCACCATGCTTCTCAAGCTGGAATACGAGTCGGGAGGGCAGGTACCAAGAGAGTTCTGGGAAGACATCTGCCCTCCCCCCAAAATACAGCGTATCCTCTAATGCGTCAATTTACTCAATAAGTGATAAAAACCAATTTTATGTCAAAATAAATGATGATGTGTTAAATAAACATATAATATATGCACAATTTTATAACAACGCCAAACAGAATGTTAAGTGTGCAGGTGCTGCTTGGACGACCCTCTTAGGCCCCCGGGGATAAACATTCCCTCCACTGTTGCTGCTGGAACTTCCTGGAGAGGTCTGCAGGGAACTATGTTTTGGCCTGTTTGTCCCACAAAAACAAGGCCCAGCACAAGCAAAACTAACACATGCAAGACACAATTCGATTAAAAGTTCTATCTTTTTCAACATTGTCACAGTAGGAAATTAAACATTTTCATGTCTTCAACTCAAAATCAGTGTCTAAGGCTCTAGGTAGGGAAGAAAACCTAGTGAGGGCAAACCTAGTGTTTTTTAAAATGAACGCAGGAAACTCAGGGCAATACTGCCTTTGCCCTCAGAAAGACAGGAGATACACTTTAAGGGGAATACATGCAAAACCCTGAATTCCCCATATTTCAGTTGTTAATAATCCCATTCTCTTCTTTTAATGCTAAGACATGAAACACGAGCAGGTGATTGTGAAAACTACAGGCCCTCTTAACTGCTAGCAAAAAAAAAAAAATCTCTGCAATATCAGGAGAAAACAGTAACCTTTTCCTGTATCTTTAAAAAGGATGACAAACAGCAGCATCAGAAAACTGTCCTTGAAAAAGCTATTTCTGATCAAGTGGCCCCAAAGACAGCCAGACTCAGAGACCGTCATTATACCCTAGGACAGTGCCTTTAATACTCACAAATCTACAATTCTGATCAGCTGTCTCACTTAATGAGGTACTGCCCTAGTGATAATATTTAAACTGACATCTGTTTCCTGAAAGGAATACTTGTGATTTTTTTTATTTTCCATATGCATGGAAGTCAAAATAAATAAAAGTCTCAATCCTACCAGCTTCTTTATTTAAAAAAAAAAAAGGAGAAAAATTGAGAGCCTTGGCTCTTCTGTTTAAACTGACAGGGGAAGAAAGAGTGGCAGTGTCAGCTTATTTAAGAATGAAAATTATAAGGAAAAATGGAATTTTCAAAATTATACTTTTACTCCTGAAACTGTATGCTTATGGGCTGGCTACACATGCCATCTCCAGAACATCTTCAAAGGCAATACTTACTGTAACTGCCAGGAGATCTATCTTCGTAAGTGAAATGAAGAAGTAACTCCTCCTCTGACATCTCACAAATGAACACTTTCAGCAAATAGCAAATAATAAACAGAGCGTTGTGTGTCTGCCAGATGAAGATGTGACTGGAAAGGGAAGACCAAAGCCACGCAAGAGTCAGTATTTAATCGTCAGCACGATCCACTTACTTCTGGTTCACGACTTCTTCATGCTGTCTCAGTCACTTTGCCCATTCTGTCTGAGGTATCAGATCAATGTCCCTGTCTTTTAATGGATCATCCACCAGTGACAGCTATTGGAGTTTAATTCCTATTTCATTCTATGTATTTTACATACAGAGTCAACCTAATAAAAACACTTCCTTTAGGCATGACTGCTCTTTGTTCTGAACTTATTGCTGTCCCACATACAGGCAATTCAAAGAAAAGAAAGCTAACAAAATTAAAAATATAGAGTACCATAAAGAGAATATATGCAAATACACAACCAAAATTTTAAATGTGGGATCACTGGTAGTATAGCACAATATCTGCTATCTGTGTTAATGACTGTGAACTCACACATTTTAATTGGACTTAATATAATTTGTTTGAAGGCTGGGCAATGAACGGTCTTTTATAAGAGCTAGCCAGAAAAAAAGAAAAGCCCAAATGCATAAAGGTTAGCTTCCCATTGCATCTAGTATAAAACTACATTTAATCTGAACCTTCTTTCGTTTATTATGAAAGAAATTAAGAAAATACACAGGGAATGAAATAATAAACTTCAGTCATTATTTAAACTAGATATGACCAACAGAGATAATGGGCAGTAATTACCTTTTTAGTACTAAGTACATCACTATTAATCTTCTTAAAAAATATATTCCTAAAGATTATCTAAAATAATCTTGATGCTGAAATCGAACAGATTCCAGAATTTGTCATCTCACTCCAATGACCTGGAGAGCAAAGTAAAACCTCTCTTTTACTTTTTCCCCGTGATGATAAGGGGAATTTCTTTATGCTTTTAAAGGACCACCATCATAATAGATTTCTACCCATAGATGAAGAATACTCACACTGTTAATTATGTAAGAACATGACTTAATCAGCCAACTTACTTCTGACATTCTGCTGAAAGTTTTAGTTCTTTGGTTCTAGAAAGGAAGACCTTAATTAACGCACCAAGGTTTCCTGTTCGAGGATTGTTTTCAACTGCAAAAGAAAAAAAGATTTTAAAAAGTTAACATTAAGAACTAAAATCAAAGTGAGCGTATCGGAACATTTATAAAGCCACATGTCAAACTGAAGTCACTCATGGACCAACCTTATTGTCAGTAAGCAATGGGAAAAACTGCTGGTTGCTTGTAATCGTTTCTAAACAAAAACTAATATACAAGATGAACTGACAGAAACAGTAGGAGAAAGTAGCCACCTCGCCTGAGAATTCAAAATTGCAAAGAAAAGACGTGACAGAGAACACACACACACACAATTTACATATACACCATTTTCTCCAGAAAAGCAGATGTTAAAAAAACTCAAAAACTGATCATCTATATCCCCAGTATATGAAATATAATAAACCATAAAGATTAAAACTGCTCAGATAATCCCAAATTATTCTCATATAAAATAGAAAAGATACATAAAGAAAGCAATGTGGTCAGTGGAGAGCTATTTGACCAGGCAAAATTGTGAAGAATTTGTTGAAAAATTCTTTAAGTTTAAAAGGTGGGCATTTCAGCAAAGCCAACCTGAAGAACTGAGAGAAGACTACTGGGAATTCGAAGATCTGGCTTCTAGACCCAAGCCTATAGTAATGGAATACTGAACCGCAGACCAGTTATTTGCTCCTTCCCCTCCACTTGCTCATCTGTAGAAGAAACACAGCTAGCATATAGTGCACAGTACACACTATATGTTTTACACGCGTGGCCTACTTTAATCCTCAGACTCCGCAGTGGCATAAGCACCTTGGCTCTAAACTACACCATCCCAGCCCCCTCCCCGTAATCAAGGAATCAGAGTTTAGGAAAGTATAATGTTCTGCCAGGCTGCAGAGCAAGACACAGGTCAACCTGCCTGGGCCGCAGGATGCCCGGATACCTGGTTAAAGCTTATTTCTGAGAGTGTCGGGGAGAGCGTCTCTGCACTTGAACTGGTCGGAGTCCTGAGTAAAGCGACTGGCATCCCCGCTGAAGGCCCAAAGAGAGCGTCCGAGGCAGGCTGAATGACCTCTCTCTGCCTGACTGCCGGGCCAAAACTCTGGTCTTCTCCTGCCCTTGGACTGGGGCTTTCAACACTAGCTCTCCGGGTGCTCGGGCCTTTGGATGAGGACTGGAATTTGTTAACACCGTTAACTTTCCTGGGTCCCCCAGCGGGCAGACAAAAGGTGGTGGGACTGCTTGGCCCTCACCGTCTGTGAGCCAATTCCCTGTAGTAAGTTTCATGTAGATATATAGCTACAGACCCACCTTATGGACTCTATGGATTCTGTTTCGCTAGAGAACCCTGGCTCATAAAGTATAAATGCACAGAAGTTAACAATTTGTCCTAAGAGAAACTATTTAGTCATTTCACTGATGGAAGGAAAAGAAGCCCAGAAAAACCAAGTATTGGGACCAAAGTCAACAATATGTCAGTGACGAATGCCCAATCTTTTCACTTTAACAATGGTTTTCTGACCGTGAGATTCTAGAATTATAGGTATTTGTTTCACTTCCGAAGTGTTTGTAACCATTTTGAAAACCAGAAATGCAAACACACACACTGGCTAGGAGAATTCATTTTTATGCAGATCTGAGAATTATGCTTTTGCGGCCATTTCTATACTTAATACCTAAATGTCTATGACAAAGATATAAAAAGATGGAGTTCTCCAGAATTTTCTAAATCCAGGTCTGCACAAATCCAGGTCGTGTACTTTTGAAAACATGCACACGAGCATAAGTACGCCACCCCAGCACACCTGCTTTGTGCTCAGCAACCGTCAAGCCAACTCAGGCCTATCTGTTGGGTGTGTGTTCCGGTCACAGCCTGAGTGTTAATCTAACTGGGTAACTTTCTCATTGCAACAACAGCTGTGGCGCCTTGCTGTTACATGCATGGTCCCTGGACTAGCGGCAACAGCATCATCTGGGAGCTGGTTGGAAGTGCAGAACCCCCGGTCCACCCACACCGAGGTTTCCAGTGCTTTTCAAAGTATCACGTGCACTTAAATCACAAGGCACTAACATTAAGCTTAAGTTCTGATCCTGCTCATGTGAAGTGAGACCTGAGACTGTGTCACTCACAGCCTCTTAAGTAAAGCCCCTCGCTCCTGGTGGCAAGGTGAAACCTGTGCTATAAATTAGGGCAGTTCTGGCCATTGTTAAGAATGGGTGTGTGGCTATATTTTAGATATCATTACGGTTTCTCTCAAATAAAAATTTCCTATTTTCAAGCTTTGGGTTTAGTTAATGAAATACTATCCTGAGATTGCAGGATACACTGTTTCAAGAAAACTGTTAATGTTCGCAAGTGCATCAGTGTGTAAATTAACATTATGTAGCTACTGTAAATCAAAACAAAATACTGAAACAAAGTCTTGAGACTGATAAAATTCAGAATCCCACCTTCGCAATCTTGTGTTCATTCAACGGCCCCTTTATTACTAAATTCCTTTATCATCTTTTTGACTATAAATGGTTAGCTATTTTAAAAAACAAAACAAAAAAACTGTATTTGGAGGAAAAAAGAGACTACTAGATTGATGGAACGAAAGCTCTGTGCACATTCGTTCGGCATGTACTCACTGAGCTGCTGAGAGGTGCGCGGCCCTGCTGCAGGTGAAGGAAAACACTTACAAATAGAACTCCCTGTCTTAACAGAGCTGACACTCTAAGTCAGTTACGTTTCCTGACTAAGCTTCTGGGCAACATGCACATAGGACAATAAATTAATAAAAGTAAGTATGCACAATGACGTTTCAACCACAATGCCAATGGTAGGCTTCTATTCCAAAATACTTCAATGGAATTTATTAACAGGATCAAACCTATTTGGTTAAAGTCAAACACTATGTTAAAGCTGAATGAGCTTCAGCAGCCAGAGCAGAAATGGGGCATCTGACAGAAAGTCAGGACAGCATAACAGAACTAGATACAGAATCTGACCAAGTTCAAATCCCAGGTCCACCACTGCCTAGCTGTGTGACACCTGGCAGCTTAACCTTCTTCCCACACCTCAGTTTCCTCATTTGTGGAATTAACATCATAGTACTTAAGCATAATAACTCATCTGACTCTAAAGGTTGAACCTGTAGAAATCTATGAACTAAAGTGGGCTTTTGTGTAAAGAGGGGAACTCTCCACCTCTACAGGAGTTCAAGCAAAGTCCGGGTAACACAGAGAGGTACTGTAAAGAGGATTTCCATCTGGAGTGAGACGTTGAACTTGCTTCTGGGTCCTGAATCCACCTTTACCAATACATCACTGAAATACCCATGAGCCCCAGACCCAATAACCAACACGCAGGAAACACAGAAACACACTAACAATCCATGGGGTGCAGTCAACAAAATCTACGTTGTGGGAAACTCTACGACCCACTTTCTTTTTTTTTTAATTTCTTTTTATTTTTCCATTACAACTGACACTCAGTATCATATTAGTTTCAAGTGTACAGTACAGTGTTAGACATTATATAACTTACAGGGTGATCCTAGCAATAGATCTAGCACTTGACACCACACGTAGTTATTACAGTATTATTGACTGCTTCCCCTACGCTACACTGGACATCCCCACCCGCTCCAATAAATAAATCGAGAGAGGAAAACGGGAGAGACACATGCAGGAGGAATCTGGCTACGGGAAAAATCATAAAGCTGTACCGACCAGTAATCACAGTATGAGGACCTTGCCCTGACCAGGTAGCTCGGTTGGTTCAAGAGAAGGCCTGATACACCAAGTTTGCGGTTTGACCCTCCATCAGAGCACAGACAAGATGCAACCAAATGAATGTATGCACAGGTGGAATGACAAAGCAATGTTTTTCTCTCTCTCTCCCTCTAAAATCAACAAACAAAAACAAAATTTAAATGATAATACTGTGAGGACCTTATATAGCTCCAGATTCAAACAAACTGAGACAATAAGAAATCGCCTCATCATATCATAAAATGTCAGTGGATACTGAGGTTAAAAAATGTTTTTAAATTAAATAATGTATTTTTTCTATAAGAATCCTTATTATGATACATACTGAAATATTTATGCATGAAATTATATGATGTCTGAGGTTTGTGTCAAATTAATTATGAGGATATGCTTTCTGTTTGTTTTGCATACATTTTTATTTGTGTACTTTTATGTGCATATGTCATACAATAAATGAGTGAGATATATATGCAACAAGACTGGCCGTGCACTGAGAATTATTGAAACTGGGGAATGAGTATTGGGACTTCATTATATTATTCTGTCTTTGGACGAGTAGAAAATTCTCAAAATAAAGATTTGAAAATAAAATACCCATGAATACAAAATATACAAGCTCACAAAAACTGTGAAATTAGGATACAGTTCTTCCTTCAAAAATAGGAAACACTTTCACTAACCACAACTTTTATAGAGCTGAACTACAAATTTATTTGGTAATCATCAGCGAGCCTAACTGCCTCAAAGCACCTTTGAGGAAAAAGTTCCCCTCTTACCATCCACTCCAACCAGAAAACGTATGTGACTCCTCCAACACAGTAACTTTCTCTAGTTTCAGGGCCTACAACTCCCAGAAAACAACTGGCAACAAGAATTAATAAGCCAAACATTGAGCAACTTATGCTGGACGGCAGAGGCAGGAAAAAAGGTTGATCCAACTGTTCCACTTGGGGATTTTAGAATTCGCTCACACTCCCAAACCAAGGAATGGGAATAAGGGAACATCTCCCTTAAACTGAGCAAACATGTACGAAATATAACCATCTTGGGTCCTAGAAGTTAGGTTAGAAAACAGGACCAGCCCACCTTCAAGGTGAAATAGCAGACTCAACAAGCAGCTACAGAAACAACACAACCAACAGGGTTAATAAAAACGCTCTGGGGGCAAACACTGCGCCTTCCCGGGTACTCACTACACTTTCCCTGCTTTGTTTTTCTGAAGACTCATCATTATGTAAAATACATGTATTTATTTATGGTCTGGCTTCCCCACTAAGATAGATCCATGAGGTC